GTTGGAATTTCAGAAATACAAATACACATGAAATTGTATCACTTTACAGAATTACTGAGTATGTCTATATACTCGAAATTACTTTATTCACATGTTCACAGCAATGATGATAAACTAAGTAAGCAAATATTTCATTTTGTTTTATTAAAAGTCGAGTATATTTTTTTTAACGATTATTCACTAACAAAATTATCTCTATTAAGGACATGGATCTATCCCATTTCTATTGAAGTAAAATAAAAAACGGTTAATTAGAAAATTAACAAAAAAAAAACTTTATATATAACATTTATTATATATAAATTAACGTCATGTGAAGTAAGTAAAATATGTTTTATTTGGAACAATTAAAAATAAAATTCGTTAAAATGTTTAAAATTTATGTCTCAAACATCGTGCCTTCGCAAAAGCCACCCTACGGCACTGAACAGTGAAACACTTACGCAAAGAATACCTTAAATACCTTAAAGGTATTTTTTGCACTTACGTTTGCTGGCATGTTATTGTGAATACTATTGTGAATATATACTTTTAGACCGTACGGTCATTTATCAATGTACAAAACCTGATTAAAAAAATTGTTCCACTTTCCGCTTAGAAAAATTTGAAAAAGTTTATTAATCAAATTTTACTTACCCATGCCATTTGTTAACATTAGTTTACGCAGCATTTCATTTAAATTATCTGCACTTTTGCCGTCTAACTGCTCCAATTGTTTAACGAATTCTTTAGAGTTTTTGTTAAATTCTGCTAAAAAGTTGCGTAAAATAGGCTTTCGAAACGCCGGATCAATAAGTTTGCGATGTAGACGCCATTTATCACTTTTAGATGTTATTAACCCATCACCAAAAAGATATCCAAGAGGTTCGTATAAGATGTTTGGCTTATTATACAATTTAGATGAAGTGAACACTTTTTGAAATAAATTGGGATCGACAGTATAAAGCGTCGGTTGCGGTCCGAAGTATGTAAAAATCGTCTCCGTTTTATAAATTTCCAATACCATTTTCAGTTTAAGCAGAAGCACTTAGTATTTTATTAAAGCAAATTCAAAAAAAAAAGTTAAAAAATGAATAAATTATTTTTACATTCTTACTTACAACTCGGTTTATACACATGAAAAAATATACCAATAATTGGGAATTCCAATGGTCCAGGAAAGAGACGAGAAAGCTTATAGAAGCGTCTTCTACGCCAAAATAAAAATATTACTGTCAATATTAGAATAATGTATATTTTTGCTAATGTAGTATTAGGATCTGAAAAGCTTGCGTTCGATGTATCCATTGTGACTAATTTTTATTGAATAAAATTTAAAAATGTTAATTTCGCCTTAGGTACAAAAATCATCTCAAAGTACAAAAGTATCGAAATCTGAGATCTATTGACGTAGTACTCGGAACTGGTTTCCTTTCAGAATATTTTTTGTAAATTTGGTTTTTGCAACTTTGGATTCTAAACAATCACAAATTCTTACAATGCTTGTTATTATTCGGGAATTTTTGTTGTGTGTTAACCAAAATAAAAAACAAAAAAAAATCACCATATATAATTTGTTGTTTTTTATTTTATTATTTTAGCTGGATTGACACAAAAACGTGTTAAAATTTTTTTAGATGTTAAGATCTTATTAATTAAATAAATGGGAACATTTTCTTTATTGATTAAATTAAATACAAATGAAGAATGTTGTATTTGTAATCACTTTTTTTATAGCTAAATTTTATAATTTATTATAGTTTTAATAGAAACTTGTTATATTTACATAAAGATTTATGATAAAGGTTTATGATTTCGTTCTAATATATAAATACAGCAAGTAAAATTGTTAATAACAAAAACTCCAGCAAAAATATGCGAACAAAAAAAGTCAAGTACGGCTTTGGATCAGTTGGTTAAGGTGCGCTGATTCTGAGCTTCAATTTGCAGGACCCGAGTTCGATGCCTGGTACTTGCAGTCTCAAAAATATTATTTACGAATAATTATACAAGAATTAATGTCCAAACCACTGATGAAGGATGGCAATACTCGAAACACGTATGGTCAACCAACATTCAATTAATTAAAATAATTTAAAAAATAAATTTTTGTTGTTGTTTCACTTCTGTTCGAAAACCTCTTTATAATTTATTATATTTAGAAGCTGAAAGGGATATATTTGCTTGTAAAAAATATTTCAGTTAAATAAATTCGACTCTTATGGAATTAATGCAGTATAAATAAATTAGTTTTCCTTGAATATTAGTAACTTTTAGTAAGTAGATGAATACTAGAAGTATAAAAAACGATTTATTACTTTGGTTTCCAGGCTGTGATAATCTCTAATAATGTCAGACACATTTTAACAGTACTAATAGAGCATGAAAAACCGTTCCCGATTCTACATAGATCATTCTATGACTTTTTATTAAAGATACAAAACCTTGTTCCTTGTTAATTTGTGACGGGTCTATATTTGGCACACTTTAATAAATGATTTAATGTTGATGTTGGAAAGCAAATGTAAGGGCAAAAAAATCTACCAGACCTTGGAAATTAGATAACTGGAATATTGTCGCTAATATATTCTTTGGAGTTGAAGGTAAGGTTATTTATTAAAGATCATTAAAGATACAGATTTTTCAACAAATAGAAAAGAAAAAGATGCAAACATAATTTAAACATTTATTATTACTGAAATTATTATCAGCATTTTGGTTTTGTTAAAAATGTGTACTTGGCTAATCGGCATAATTGAATACATTAAATATAATATATAAAAGCAATGTTCGACATTTTCTAAGACCACTGATGATGAGTACTTTGCAATACTCGAAACAGCGTTGTATGGTCAGCCAAATTTTAATAAATGAAATAAATTTTTGCCCTTGTCTTTTATTTGCTATTCGAATCCGTCTAACTTTTAAAAACTACTTAAATTGAGGCATTATTGAAAGCATTTGGTTCTCCAGTTTTTATTCTTCATATAGTATCACAAAGGTCTTTTCTTTAAAGACTATTATTGTAATAATAATTATAATAATATTATTAACAGGATAATAGTAGAATTATATTATTAAGATAGTAGCTTATTACAGCAGTCATTTTTTTGTCAATTATAAGTAATAAACGCTTTGAATTATAAACAAAATAAAAACCAACAAGCTTTCAAATGTAATAATGTTATGGGGTAATAATACCCCACAACTCATAGAGAATTTATCCAAATGATTTGCGTAGTACAATTATTGGTAGTTCATTAAATATCCTACAAATGTATATATAAAATATTCTTAATTGAAAAGTTCTAAAAAAAATATAAGAGCATCTTTTTTTTAGTTGATTCTATATATTTTAATATAGTTTCCTTCCAGTTCGATATGATATCTTAACTGAACTATATCAAATAATATAGTTCTCTTTAACTCTTCAACATAAGCCACTGTTCCTCCGAATAGCTACTCTCGTAGTAAATCTGTTTGCTTCCAACATTTTATTAAGGTTTGGAACAAGTCTCTGGGGACTAAATTTAGCAAATAAAACCTGAACTTATTCTATATAAATAGAATTTTCTATAGTTATACTTGGAACAGAAATAAGTAAAAAAAATATGTATTGATTGCTTTGTTAAGTATCTTAATGAGATAATGTTATCTCACATATCATGGATGAGATATATTTCTTTTCCATAATCCATTCTCAAACCGAAATGTTAGGTGGGCAAACATTTTGGCTCTTTTATCAAAAATGGAGCTCTTATACCTACTTCTGCTATGCTCGTTAGACTTACAAGTCATAGTTTGGTTTGTAGTGTGGTTCGCTTTGTAGATGTCGGCGACGCGTAGCTTTGTAGTTATTATAAAAGCTAAGTGCACCTAAAACTTCAGAAACATTATCTAGTAATGTTGTAGTTAAGAGTGTGAAAAAGCTTCCCGATCTGATAAAAAAAACTCAGGAAACAAACAAGTCGAAGAGAGCAAGCAAACAAAATCGTAGTAAATTAATTGAAGAGCTAAAAAGCTTAGCGTTCAAATTTTAGTTTTCGATGAACTATCGCTGGAGTAACAATAAGAATAACAAGAACAACAATAACTCAGTAAATGTATATAATTTATATAATTTAAATAATTTGAATTATTAATTAATTGTTGAGTTGAATTATTTACAAAGTTTAATGTAAGTAAAGATCTGTGTTTCAAATAATTAAGAATTAGTGTTTCTATTTATTTTTTAATCGCATCTACGTATATGAGTAATAATATATGAAAATGTAATGAACATTTGCCTACATGTATATAATAGTAAACAAATTAAAAAAAATTCTAATTATAATCTTAACACTTAAAAATTTATTATTCAAAACAAAGAAAGTAGCAATTTACTAGAAAATTATTTTATCAGTGGAAATTCGTTTGATACGAGAACATAACGCCAGTTATCTTCACACTCAATTATATTTAAATAATAAATATGTATTTACCAAGACTACAAGTTTCGAAATATCAGGTTTAATAAATTGAAAACTAAACAAGAATGATACTCCATATGTTTTATTTAATAGCCCCGATAAACAAAAATATAGATGAAGACGTATATAGATGGGGATTAGTGTGGGGAAACTAAGTCCATTTTTCGTTGAAATTCGATTGACAGTCATTTTCAATTCTTGCGTGTTATTGTATTATATAAGTTTTTATAAATATACTTTTGGTTTAGCCTAGCTGTCTTATGAATCACAACTATATCAACATGTAAACCATATATACCAGCATGGTTTACAAACTCATTGCACTGTGATTGCTAGAGTATTGAAGAGTTGGATCAACATTATCACTAAATACTAGAACATGGGCTAAGTTGAGTCTTTAAAAGAGGATGAGGATATCAAATATAGATAGATAGACAAATAGGTATGATATTTAAAGAGAATTATTATACTATTATTTCTGTTATAATAGCTTTTAAATTAACTTTGAAAAAAATGTATTCGTATAAATTTAATTACATATCTTGTACATGTAACTACAGACGTGTCCCCCAACAACTATTATAGATTCGATTTTTAATAATTAAATTTTTTGTTATTATTTTTATTTGTTTGTTCTTAAAATTTGCAAACAAAAATTTGTCAGTTTAGACAAAAAATAAATATTGGAATATATATATAAAGACAACAAACATATTAAGTACAGTTAGAGTTCGAGTTATAGGAAGTACACTACCGAGATTTGACAAAAAAGATAGGGTAAATACAATAAGGGTAAATAAACTCATAAGTATTATATATCTTGAAGAGCTTAAATAACAATAATACATGAATAAACAAACTAACGGAATTGCTGGCTGAATTGGACACAACTATTAATATCTCCAATGGTTCAAAAAAAAGAATAGGTACCCTGTGTGACTCTCGTGACATATGTTTTCAATATACATAATTTTCAAGTCTGTCTGCTGGATATTGTTAATGGAGGAATTAAATATTTGTTCGTAATAAAAAATTGATACTTAAAATTTAGTTTCGCTTATGTTAGGGAGCTGCCTATATGTGGTAATATCCTTAATCCTTAATTCCTCAAATCCTTAATTTGTTAAAAGAATAGGGATGTATGTTATCAGACACAGCATTAAGTGATGGAATATTTTAATGGAGCCTTTTGATATTATGCGTCTTTTAAATTTTCTTAAAAAAATGTTATACACAGATCAGTAGACGAATATTCACATATATATTTCACACACTTGTAAAGTTAATTGGATTAGTGAATAGACAAAAAGACATAGATAAATAGATAAATAGACACATAAACAGGTTACAGATTTGAATGGTGAAGGATACAGAGTTCTTAGGGTATTTGAACTGTGTTCCAATTCAATTTCTTTATATTTCACCCATAGTATCATATTATTGACTATAATCCATTTTTTCTTAACCAAAACTAAGTAAATAACAACCAAAGATACTTTACATACGTTTGTTACTTCAGTTCTGAAGAAATGGTTTGTTTTAAATGTGTACATTATTATGCCATACAGCTATGATGCCATAAGCTTAATGAATAGAGGAAACTTTCTCAAAGTCCACACAACGAGATCAACTTATTAAAACAACAGATTAAAGCAGCTTCGTTATATTATCTACAGAAGATACCGGTAACAATGTTAATTTTTTATTAGGAAAGTAGTGAATATTAGTGTTTTTAATGTTTGACTTATATATTCCTTCAAATTTACCGGCATGACATCTTTTTTGGACGCATGCCTTCCCATCGAAAGGTAATTTATGATTTCAAATTTAAAGA